AGCGCGTGCTCCTCCTCTTCCATCTCGTCCACCGGTTAATCCTTTCTCATCTTCTACTCCTATAGCTCCAAGTAGATCCTCAACATCTGAATTAACCGCCAATAACTCTGGACCAGTGGTCCGATCTTCTCTCTCCCCCCCAAAGAGACCTCCTGCCCGCCCTCCTCCTCGGCACAGTTCCTCGCCCATATCAAGGGCGGGTTCTATCGATATTTCTATGAAAAACGACAATACATCTACAAGTAGTGTATCAAGTGTATCTGCCTTACAGGTCCCTCCTCCCCTTCCCGCTCGGAAAAGTCCTCCTGTTGAAACAACCGAGCTCCCTAGATATACACGTCCATTTCTTGATACGCATTTTCTTCAGGAAGGAGATGACGACCCCCGATCGGTGCCAGATGCAAAACTAAAAGGACCTTCTCGATTTGCTCCTCCTCCTGTTCGGACTATTGGTCTCGGGGACAAACTTCCTCCGCCAAGAAGGCCACCATCTAATGAGGATTCGGAATCAGATTCAGCAGAAGATGAAGACTCTACTACAAAGCTAGGGAAAATATCAGACCTACTTCCAGATTCAATGCATTCTTCCCGTCGTCCCCCTCTTCCCCGATTACACAGGTTTTCATATGCACGTATCCCTGTTGCTGTGCCTCAGGGAGTTATTGCGGTTGCTGGTTCCCGTGTGGTTGTTGCCCATCATCACGTTAAATTATATAATTTATCTGTCTCAGAATCTTATCTGCATAATATTGATTTGAAAGAAGCTGGTTTCGAATGGCGCGGGAAAGACCCACGCATAACGAGCCTGGAATTTAGGTCTTCGGACCAAGGGACTGAAGGGCGTTTCGTTTGGCTCGGTACGAAAGATGGGTCAATCTGGGAACTAGATGTAAATAATGGCATAGTTACAACTTTGAAACCTGCTATCCATAGTGCCGCTATTACCCATATCTTCCGTTATGGTGGAAATATGATTACCTTGGATGAAACAGGCAAGGTGTTGGTATTCCATCCCGAAACAGAAAAAGGTGGATTTAATTCTATGCTCGCTCATTCAACACCTCGAGTTATTCGTATATCGGAAAAGCAAGGTTTTGCGAAACTATTGCTTGGATACCTTTGGACCTCTGGAGGTCCTGGCTCAGGATCTTCAAATGCTCAGACAACTAATCATAATGTTCCAGCACGTGGCCCCGTTATCCGTATTGTTGATGTCCAAGGACATAGCCCCAACCCTAGGTCAATTTTACCCACAGAGAACGTAGGATCTGTTACATCTGGCACTATTCTGCAGTCTCAACCTGGAAAAGTCTTTCTTGGGCATGAGGGGGGCTTTATTACTATTTGGAATGTAGAAACCGAAGATGTTCCCCAATGCATCGATGTCGTAAAGGTATCCACTTCTGATATCCTCTGCCTTGAAGGGGTTTGTAACCGTTTGTGGGCTGGTGGGAGGAAAGGGAAGATTGTTGCATACGATGTCGAGCATAAACCTTGGACAATCACAAACATTTGGACAGCACACGCTGACCTACCGGTTCAGAGACTCTTTGTTGACCCTTATAGTATAAGAATGTGTGGACGACTCTCTGTCATTAGTGTTGGTAGGGATGAGCAAGCCAGGTTTTGGGATGGGTTACTGGGCAGCGACTGGATTGGTAAGTTGATATATTAGTTTGTGTATACTATTATGACTCTTATACTTCTTTCAAAGATAATGAGCTACAGAAGCAGGAATTAGTCTACTCCTCCTACAGGCCCCTCAACGTACTCGTGGTTTCATGGAATGTAGACGCGGCAAAACCTGATGCACTGACTGGCTGTGAAGAAAACACGAATTTCTTAAATAACGTGCTCAGTTCGGTGGACTCACCAGATATTATTGTTTTCGGTTTCCAGGAGCTTATTGATTTGGAAAGTCGAAAAATGGCTGCAAAAACGGTCCTCTTAGGGGGGAAGAAGAAACAGGCCGATGGAACGATGTCAGAGAAAGTATCACGTTCATATAAAATGTGGCATGATCGACTCATTCTTGCCGTACGCCTTGCCATGCCCTCGCATTGCCCATACACGGTTGTTCACGCAGAAAACCTTGTCGGTCTTTTCACCTGCATCTTTATTAAGAATTCCGAATTGGGTGGACTACGAGATGCTGCCATTACAACTGTAAAACGAGGAATTGGCGGTATATATGGAAATAAGGTAGGCCCGACTTTCTCCAGAAATTTATATGTAGTATAATGATCGTGATAATAGGGTGGAATTGTTGCACGACTGGTCATAGACGATTCATCCATTTGCTTTATAAATTGTCATTTGGCTGCAGGACAGCAACACGTGCGGGCCCGTAATGCTGACGTAGCTGCCGTCCTCGAGGACAAAGAAGTATTTCCAGCAACGTCTACCCCGGAAGCTGTTGCTTATGCAGGGGGAGGCGATGGCACAATGATTTTGGACCATGAGATCGTATTTGTATGTTATGATTTTAGTTTTATTATAAATCTCTGACATTTTTTTCCAGCTAAACGGAGACCTCAACTACCGGATTGATCAACGGCGCGATGCCACTATTTCAGCTGTTAATCAGGGACAACTAGATTTATTGTTGGCCCATGATCAACTTTTAAAAGAAATGCGTCATAACCGTGGGTTCCGTCTACGATCATTCTATGAGGCTCCTATCACCTTCCCTCCTACATACAAATATGACCGGCGTTCGTCTGAATACGACACTTCAGAAAAAAGTCGAGTGCCTGCTTGGTGTGACCGGATTTTGTATAGAACACGCGATGCGTCGCGCGTCCAAAATCAGCATTATCGACGTTACGAGGCTAATGTATCGGATCATAGACCAATATCTGCGGGCTTCAGTATAACAGTGAAGTCAGTCAACCAGGAAATCCGCCTTAGTGCAAAGGCGGAAATAGAGGAACGCTGGCTAACTTTGCAAAACGAATCGCTCTTGAAAGCTGAGATGTTCTTCTTGGAACATTTCATCATTTGAACTCCTTTGTATATGAACCTTCATAATGAATTAGTGGTACGACCCTGTTCTCTTTTGAGTTCGGACTTTAATCAAGGGTCTTTTTGGACACTTAGTTTGTATCTATTATTATACGTGTAGCAGTAGGAGACATAAGAAGACAAGAAGTAGTTGCTAGTCACTTCGGATTTCCGTGACTGTAGTCAATTCTAATATAAAATCATCTACATATGTACATGAGTATAGTCTGTCCGTGAAGAAGTAAGTACAATGCATTTGCTGAATAGAAAACAATGGAGACATGAAAATTGTGATTAGACATAAAGAGAAACGTGCTGTCATATCTGTACTTGACCAATCGTCGCTGTGAGTAAAAATGCAAGTTCACTGGAATCAATGGAACTGGTTATAGGTGCCGGAGCTGGAGTCGTCAATTGAACCGTGCTTGAGGCAACATTGGAAGGTTGATTTGTCACAGTATTGACGGCTGTTGCGATGCTGGTAGAGGATATATCAAACAATGAGGATGTGACCGCAGTACTAGGGAGTTCCTGGTTGGAAATAGATGTAGTTTGGGCTACAAACGAAGATGAAACTCCAGTGGCCCCAGAAGAGAGTGGTGGTGCCGTTCCAGATGATAGCGGCTCTGATTCAAACGTTACTAAACTAGACGTGAAACCAGTACCAATGAGACTGGAACCAGAAAGAGACGCTGAAGCAGAGGGAAGTACTGAAGTTTCAATCGTTCCAACTGAGCTTACGCTGGTAACAGTAACTGTTACTGTCACTGTTGCGCCTTGAACACTTCCAAGAGCTGATGATAAAACAGCGGTGGTAGATGGACTCGTGTTGTCAGGATCAGGAGCAAATGCTGTGTTGATCGAGCCTGAGGTAGAAGATAATGGAACAGCAGTCGTTTGTATATTTCCAATCGCATTTGTATCCTCGGGGATACCTGCTGTCGCGGTTTGCGTTGAGGAAGAAGCGGGTAGTGAAACAACAGTTGTACGTATATTTCCAATGGCACCATCCTGCCGTTTGTTATAGAGCAGATCCCGATTGCCTACGTTATGCGTAAATGAGATCCTGTATACTTAGAACTAATTATTCGATAAAGATAGCTTACTGATCTCTTGCCCCTTGTTTACTAGTGAATCAGAGATAAGGTTTAAACCCTGTGTTAGGCCATTTGTAGTTGTATAGAAAGAGTCGATCGGTATCGCCTGAATGCGGAGTAATAAAAAGGAGAGTGTGAGGGCTAATGAACGTCTTGAATACATCACGGTTTATAGGGATTTTTTAGTGAGAAGTCTAAGACTACAATGACACTAGAAAATAAAATTTGTATGGAAAGGGAGCCAGTCCCAGAAGAAGAAGAATAGGCGTTGTATGAAGTATGAAGGGGAGGGAGGTTGTAAGAAAAGTTCGAGACCGAACTTTTTATAAGGATATCCATGATCCGTCAAAGCGGTGTGGATATTAGGGAACAAAAGGGAACAACAGAAAAATAACAATAGCACAAGAAGGATGTGTGGGAATGTTCTCTTATTGTTAGCCAAACGAATCTTATTGTATTAAACATGGGCTAGGAAGCACAATTCGGAACAGCTAGTTTACTTCAATTTTGATAGCAACCGTAGTGAAGAAGAAAATATGCCATATATGCCGATGTAAAGGCCATTTAGACGGAACGCCATCACGATGACCTTATAACATGCCAAAGAAACGTTAGTACTTTTTCGGCTTCCTGTGGCTTACGAAAATGCTTTGATCCCGTGAAAGGGGTTTAGCTAATAGTCTTTTGCGTAACGAATGAGTAATAGCAGTCCACATGGGACATTAGCATTGAGTTATTTATTTATATCCTTACTGTTGTATGGAACAACGATGGTCACGGTTCATCGTGACATTGTTATCAACTTAATAATCAAGCGTATAAAGTATATTGTTGCATGTGACAATATTATAGAACTTGAACGTTTGCTTTAATTTGCCGCTACACATCGTCTCCCTCTCAATGAAATTACATTCTGAGTTTCAAATTACAAATCATAGTCTTCCTCCGGATGCCTCATATCCGTTTCATATCACTGCGAAGCGGTACATCAAATCTTTCGAAAATGCAACACCAAGTCCTGGATTTACTTTGATTCTTTTACACTCTACTGGGTTTCACAAAGAGATCTGGGAACCTGCCCTTGAAGAAATATGTAGCTTATTACAAGAAGAATCCAAAGGGATAATCTCCCAAGCTTGGTCGATTGAATGCCCGAATCATGGTGCTTCATCAACTTTGAATGAAGCAGCTTTATCCTTGCCTGAAAACAAACTCAACTGTGGGTCTTATATTTTCTTATGATCCCAGATAATCAACTAAAGAGAACTGGAGGTAGTTACTTGCGGCAAATATGCGCAAGCTGTTCACCGTTTTCTTTGCTCCGATGCACTGGGTATAGACTTCAAGGAACATAAATTGATTGGTATTGGCCATTCGTTAGGAGGTGTAGCCATGTTTGCCATAATTTATCTAAATCAAAATAGTTATGGTTGTCTGACTAGAGTATATATAGGGCTAATTTACAGACACTCTTCCCGATTCTTCCTTTTCAGACAGTGATATTAGTTGAACCCATGTTAAGCCCAAAAGGTCCGGAGGTCTTAGAAAAATTACGTTATGACCTAGTTCGTAGAGCGTATGAAAGGCGGGATGTATGGCCGGATAGAGAAACGGCCTTAAAAGCAATGAAGGAACATAAGCGGACGAGAAGTTGGGATCCAAGAGTTTTAGAAACCTTTGTTGTGAGTCTTTACCGTATATTATAGTGATTGCATGGTAAGATCATGACATATTCGCAGAGATACGGCCTGAAAACACATCACGGAGCACAATTTGAACATACCCCTTATAAGGGTGTTTCTCTCTGTTGTTCTCGAGATGAAGAAGCGGTCTGTCCTGTAGGCATCTACCCGGAATTAGAACTAATATGCAATGTAGGCCATGTACAGGGATAGTGATGGTCCCACAAAGCCTTTAATACATCTGAATAAAGCATGCGTCCGTTTACCCGTTCATATTGTCTTCGGTACAAGAAACGATTATATGTTTGTCTATATATTTCATTAGAACTTTGTTGAAAAATTTATTCATTTTTCATATAGTCCTCGAGAGGTTCACGAATCATTAATAGATCCTTCTTCAGCCAGAAGGTTTGCTTCAATCTCGTATATTCCAGACTCGGGACACCTTGTATGTTCAGCTTGCTAGTGGTATTATTGAGTACAAACTGACCAAATGTTCAAAGATACCTCAAGAAGCACCCATAGGGCTTGCGAAATGTGTTGTTGGTATCATACTAGAGTTTCAAAGGAGTCGTAACTGCCGTACAGGGATTTCAAGGCTTTGATATAAATAATAAGTACATAACAACCTAAACAAGTAGTTTCCTTCCTTGAATATGATACGCGTGGTATTATGAGCTACGTTTTCCTCTTTTAGATAGTTATTCACACACCTGAGCTTCAATTTAGATTTCTACACTATTCCAATTACAATCTGAGCCAAAGGTCTAAAATTTATAGCAATGGATAAGAGAAAGGTCGGAGTTTTGGGTGAGTGTACGTTACACTTTTATTTTTGTCATGCTATTGGATTAGCTTATTGTTTTGAACTGTATCAAGGGGAAACTTCATTTGAAAGTACTGAATTCTGATTTGGAAGCGCATACACAGGGGGTGGTCAGTTAGGGCGGATGTTAGCAGTTCCAGCCTCACTCTTAAATGTAGATATTGTATTTTTGGACTCCGACGAGCAGGCTCCAGCAAAGCAAGTAATTTCTTCTCCGATTGGACATATTCATGGCTCTTTCTCAGATCCCGACAAGATACGTGAACTTGCTGCGAAGGTAGACGTCCTTACTATCGAGATTGAGCATGTGGATGTTGCTGTACTCGAGGAGTTGGAAAGAACATCTCAGGTTGAAATACATCCAAGCCCTAAAACTATTAAGATAATACAGGATAAATATGTTCAAAAGTCTCATCTGTCCGCTCATCAGCTGCCCGTAGCAGAATACTTAGAGGTCGATTCTTCGGTAGAAGGTATTCAAGATGTCTCAACTAAGCTAGGCCTTCCCATGATGCTGAAAAGTAAAACTATGGCTTATGATGGAAGAGGAAATTTTGTCCTAAGGGATTTGTCTCAATCAAAAGAAGCTATCGAAGCTCTTGGTAATCGACCATTATATGCAGAACGCATGGTTTCTTTAGCCAAGGAAATCGCTGTCATGGTTGTCCGAACAACCTCTGGGGAGGTAGTCCCTTATCCCGCTGTAGAAACGGTACACAAGGACAACATATGTCATCTTGTCTATGCACCCCTCCGCTATCCTAATCCGATAGTCTCTGCACGGGCCCAGAAGCTTGCCGAAGAAGCTGTTAAAACCCTTCATGGAGCCGGTGTATTTGGAGTTGAGATGTTTCTTCTAGAGGATGGTAATTATAAATATAGCCATGTTTTTAGTACACTTTCTGATCTGGCCTTTACTTAGAAACTATTCTTATCAACGAAATTGCTCCACGTCCTCATAATTCTGGTCATTACACGATAGAAGCCTGCTACACATCACAGTACGAAAACCACCTTCGTGCCATCCTTTCATTACCACTAGGGGCGACCGCAATGAAACTACAGAGTGCCGTCATGCTTAATTTATTAGGTTTCTCAGATAATAGCGAAGATATCAACAAAGTGGCTCGAATTGCCCTGCAAACTCCCGGTGCCTCTGTACATCTTTATGGAAAACGGGAGAGCAGAAAAGGTCGGAAGATGGGGCATATCACCATAGTAGGTGACAGCGATGCAACTGTGTCAGAAAACCTTCGTTATCTCCTTCAAGCACTCCCCGATTCAACTCCAGAATCTATAGAATGTTATTCCCCTTCTATACCAAAAGCGGGTTCAGGGCAGTCAGCAAAGTATCCTTTGGTCGGTATCATTATGGGTTCAGATAGCGATCTACCCGTGATGCTTGCAGCTGCACGCATTCTTGATGGTTTTCGGGTACCATATGAACTCACAATCGTTTCCGCACATCGAACACCTGACCGTATGTTCCAATATTCCAAGACAGCAGCTACCCGTGGTCTGCGTGTAATAATAGCAGGCGCAGGCGGGGCCGCTCATTTACCCGGAATGGTTGCAGCTATGACTCCTCTTCCAGTGATTGGAGTCCCAGTGAAGGGGAGCTCACTCGACGGAGTGGACTCACTACACAGCATTGTTCAGATGCCGAGAGGTATACCAGTGGCAACTGTAGCAATTAACAATGCAACAAATGCAGCACTTCTTGCAGTACGGATAATCAGTGCAAGTGTACCTCAACTAGCTGCGGCCATGAGTGATTACATGAAAAAGCAGGAAGAAGACGTGAACGCAAAAGTTGATCTTATCAAAAATGTTGGATGGGAGAAGTATGGTAAATAAAGCACCTATAAGAAAATATTGTTGACCCCTTAAACCTCTCTGTCTTCCTCTCAATCAACTGGAGAAATAATAATTACTCAATAAACTACACAAGGGTGCATTCAAATAAATAGCTTGAAACCAAGATTATCACATATACAGAGATAGAGAGATTAAGATACTTGCAAAATTTAGCGCTTTTTCTGCAGTTCCCTGTACTCTTGGACTTTTTGTTCCATCACTTCACGGATAAGTGCACACTGACAGTGGCCCTGCCAGGCACCACCAGCAAGGGTGAAGTAAAAATATCGAGGATCATACATGTCTTCGTCAGGGGCAGTCATGAAGATTTCTCTAACACAGGCATCCATATGCTTATAGAACCTAGTACCCCCATTAATTAGTACATGATCATTTATCAGATATGAAATGAAAGACAAACAATCGTTCTTGTGTAGGATTCCATGTTTCCGATTTCTTGTTTAAGAATGATATAACTGATGTCCGAGCATAAATGATTTCTTCGGAGCTCATAAAAGCGTCCTTGCAATCTATAAATTGTCGCTCCTTTGCGCGGAGTAGAGGCCGTAGAAGCAGTGGATTGCAACCCGTAAGATCTTCTATAAACTTGCGTTCATCAGGTCTAATTGTCGGTAAGAGTTTGGCATTGTGTTTCCACCACCAGCTCATCTCGTCCTAAAATAAGGAAAAGTTATATCACACACAAGGTAGCTGAATATATATCAAATTCGTGCATACTTCTTCAAATCCCGTCAACATAGCGAACTCTTTGATATTTGACCGCTGACCGGGTCTCACTCTATGGGTTTTGGACTCGGCGGATGCACTGTAAGCGACGTAATTGCGACTCAGGAGCTCGTCTAGGCATATACGGACCTGAGATTTGCGATCTTTGTCGGGATCATCAGGAAATGTGTCCAGGGCTTCTCGCTGGTCAAGGACAAAAAATATAGTCCCGGATTTACGCCAAGCTCTACAGAAGTCACGGATCTGTTCATTATCGGACCAGGAGTCCATCATCGTGGCGTGCTCGGGGAAAGCAAATTGTAGGGCAGAACGCATTTCTATAAAGAAACTTTCAATAAGAAGGATACAATCTGGTACATAGACCACGCGTTTCCCTTCATGTGTGAGAAGGCAAGCAAGGGCGGCTAGTACATGGGATTTCCCTGTTCCAGCAGTGCCGTGTACACAGACTTTTGAGTAGGATCGGAAGGGGTCTGTATCGAAATCTGCCGCAGTTTCATAAAGACGACGAAAGATATGCCGACCCATAAACGCAAACACTAATACTTTTGACTGTCTCTGAAGATTGAAGCGCTGAGGTTGTCCCGGCGTTGTATGGGGGAAAGGGAGCCAGTTTAGATGGCGGGGATCCGAGTATCGTGCAGGTGGGTCGTCTGGGTTCTTGTTCGAAATGAAGCCTCTGCGCACAGCACGTTCTTCAGCTGAATTATGGTTAGCAAATGAGTTATAAGATCGAGGTTGATTCCAGCTTCAAATGTTTACCTTCAAGTTCCTGCATCTTTGATTTGGGTATAAGTAAGATGTGGTCGAAGAGAAACAAATATATTTGGGCGACAAAGAACTAACAACGTCTGGTACTGCTAGAACCAACATGTTGATATGGCGGCGTGCATACAGGCGTTGCTTGTGATCGGCATTATAGCTAAAATAGGCAATTCTACCCGATCAGTTCACGGAACAAAATAAAATTATTCGTTAGCACATGGTAAATTAAATTTATGAGAGAACGAACGGTTATAACAACCCCAAGTCAAGTGTCTAGAGTTAGTGCCTCAATGAAAGCAAACAAATGATGAAACAACAAGAATTAGGAAGGAAAGTAACTGAAGACCATCAACAAATACGGTTCAACTCGGGGGAAAGCATTCATTCCTACCTCAGAAATAGTGAAACAGCTCCTTCTAGGGACGGTAAGCCTACTTCACTCAAGACTAACAAACACACCACAAGTCTCATGTAAACAAGGTTTGAAACATGTTAGAAATGCGTTATTCATAAAGTCTTCGGAGGGCAAACTTGATTCAAGGGACTCCCGATTTTCTCTGGCCAAAGAATGGCTTGAGATTTCTCATGGTGCTAACGACCTGTTCACCGTTCTCAAGGCAGTTTCAGAGGTTTGAATAAACATGGTATCATTTTATATGACTCGCGTTTACTCATATCCTTCACTATCTTAGCCTAAGCCGGTTTCTATCTGCATGTCTATCTTGACTTGTCTTCTCGATCTCACGTCTCAATATCCTTTGTACTATAATCTTGGAAGGCCTGTAGTCCATACAATCCTTTCCGACTTCTGGTCAAAGAAAATTCGGGCCTTCGTATGTGGAGGACACCGAGAATTGTGTACATCAGCTTTAAAACTTCTACTCTCGGCGTCTAATTTTGCAGAAGGATCAGAACAGAGACGTCTCCTGGAAGCTTTACCTTGGGATCCAAAGGTATGTGAAATCTTCCTAGTAATTTATAAATAATGTCTCAACTTTATTATAAGACTCTTCGGCGACTCTTACACTCTCGTAGGAAAGCAGGTTCTAGTTCTTCTAGCGCTTTGGCAGATCCAGATATTCGCACCCTCTGTGTACAACTCCTCCTATCTTTCGTTTCCTACACATCCTCTATCAAAACGGACTTCTTAGAACAACATAAGGACTCACTTCTGTTACTACTAAAGGGGCTTTCTGCCGATCCTCCTGTCGTTGTCCAAACTACACTTAATGTTCTTTGGAATAAATTATGGAAAGACCAAAAGGTAAAGCGATCCTTGAAAATAGGTATTTTTGGAGAGGAGACTATGCAACACGTAAGTTACATTTAATTCAAAGTAGACCTCTTCTGAACACCCTCCTTTAGCTTGTCAATTTGTATAGTCGATCAATACCAGAACCTGATTCTGAGGATATAGTCCCGGCAAACGTCGTTCATCATTTTCTTCTAGCGGTTTGCACGCATCCAGGTAGTGGAATCTGTTTCGCCGATTCCGGGTGGTATCCTCGTCAAGATGGTGAAACTTCACACGGTAGTGAAAGCAGCGGGAGGGTCTATAACAAAATACTTGCAAATGTGTTAAAAATGCTTAAAGTAAACGACGACTCACGTCAACAGGAATTAGCCCTCCGTATTCTTGACTCATGTCCGGAATTGTCGGCGAGCTATCTGAAGTTGATAGGGCTTGCTTTAGAGCCTCGGATATCAAATAAATGGCTTACTAGTGTGGCATTTCTTGGTGCAGCAGTCTCTACAAGGGTCCCTAACGAATGTTTCTACATTCGGAAGTCTGATATGAACTCGCCCATGACCTCTGAAGAAAGGTTATATAAGCCAACACCACCCCCTTTTTTAACCATTATCGATAACATAGTTCCTACGACTAACATGAAAACTGTCTTCTCCAAGGCATTGTTACTCCCTAATATTTTAATGCAACACGTCAGTGCACTCTGTCTGGTACGTTGCTTGCGGAAATACGAATCCATATGCGAGCGTTTCAGGCTTATTGGCGATGCTCTTGGAGAGAATGGTAACGAAGGGCAGTGGATACGTCGTTCCGCTGAGGTTAGAAATGAACTACGTAGACGAATACCAGAATTTCAGGTCATTATAGCTTTCGCAAATTCGTGCAAGTCGGAATCCAACTCTCCTACTAAGCTAGTAATGCTTTCCGAAATCTCACAGAGATTGGTTCTCCTTTATCAGAGGGTTGTCCCATCACTCTATGCAGAGGCAAGATACGATATCGGGAAATCATTGCAGATTATTGAGGAGCCTAAGGACTCGGCCACAGTATCAAGCCACTCTCAAGGATTGTATGTGCTGCAGGAGATTCATGTTCTTCGCATGATAAAGGAGGGTAATCAATTTATTTGGCCCCCAAGAGCTGGTAGGAAAAGTCTTTTATTCTATACCTGCTACTTTCTATTAATTTCGGGTGTAAAGGCACTTCAAATTTATTAGATCTATTAAAGTTATATTACAAAGCGAATCAAGATATTGTTAGAGAAGAAATAAAGACTATCCTCACACAAACACTTCGTGATACATTACTTTTCCAGCATGATCCCGAGGAGTTCTCCCTTTGGCTTGAATCGATCCCACGAACCCTTCGTTCTCAAGAAAGTGAAAGCCCGGATGGTACTCATTTATTGGATGAAGGGGATTGTGTGGTTCTCTTCTTGGATTCGTGTATGCAGCGTTTCTCTAAGACACCCCATCGATACATAGAAGAGTTCGAAAAGCTCGTGGATAGTTCAAAATGCGTGCCAGAAGACGTTTGTCAAATATCTTGTTTACAGAACCTGGATGTCAGCCCAGTTATAGTTACACTACTAGAGCAGCTTGGTGCCAGGATGCGAGGGAAATTAATTGTTCCGTCTGAGACTCTCGCGTTGATAACTTTTACTAGAAAACTAGTTGTCAGTCTCTTGGGAAAGCAGACTAGTATAAAAAGCTGTAAAACACTTACAGAGGGTTTGATTGCCGTTTTCAATCGTGACATTAAGATGCTAGAGAGTCATCCAGATATACTCATAGCCTTGAAACGGGAATGTGAAATCTTGGAAGCTTGTATCGTCAAGTTTGCGCCGCACATGGACACTGACACTGTACCTTCAGTGATTAAGGATTCGGAAGCAGTAGAAGATTTCATAAACCAATTAGAAAACCTCAGCTATGGTATGTTTACGTTTATTTTTATCCTTTTTGTTGTAGTTTTTTCACATGTTTTTTTAGATAACGAACACGCAAAGATGTTAGGAGCCTATGAGTTGGTCGATTGGATTAGATTAGTCGGTGAACCTGTCTCAGTTAATAATCTATTCCGGATCGCTACTGTCATTTTGCACCTTCATGCACCTGCTTTGTCTTGTTTCCTTCAACACATACCACCAGACTGTGAAGGTGTATTCACACTACTGGGAGAGAAATGTCTCAAATGGTATGAGCCCCTTCTTTCCAGTTGTAACATCGTTAACAAAGGT